GAGTGGATCACATTTAATGATCGTTATTTTCATCCGAAGATAATGAGCTGCTTTATTGAACGCGGCATGCGTAGCGCTAGAACATAATATCTCGGGATACTGGATACCTTTGGAGTACCCAACCCCACGATAAGCTTTCATGGCCAGCATAATGCTCTCAGTTCCTCCTGAAGTGACACACCCACAGGATGTGCTGCCTCCGTTGAACAGTTTAGCCGTCCATTGAACAATCTCAGCTTCCATCTTACGGATTTGAGGGAATATGTCAGGATGAAGTGGGTTAGTCCAGCAGTATCTCCGAAATACATCACAAGTTATTTTAGTCAATTTATCGTCGCAGTTATAAGCACATCCTGAAGTGTATCCTTTTCGCCAGTCGTATGGTTCAAGTTTATCCATTCCATCCAGTTCTTTCATTATTTCTTCGTGTGAAAGTCCCTTCTCTGGTAACGAAAGGTGAAAGGTTTCTCCTGGTTTTGGTGTCAAGAGTTCAGTTTCTAAGAGTCTCCGGGTCTTATTTAACTCTTTCTCAATCTTCCCATTAATGAAAGGAAGAGAGCGGACGGTTTTAAAACAAGTTCCTTTGACTCTCTCCCAAAGTGTCTTCTCTCCAGTTCCAACAAGGAAGAGGTAGAGTTTGTAAAGGATGAGTGTGGCCCCGGCAGTCACAGCTATGATCTGCCATCCTTCATAGTCTTTAACTGAGCGGTTTATGTGACCCCTGGCCTTCTCTAACTCGTCTCTAAACTGATGTCTAGCTGATGGACTCTCCCATAAAACTGCCAGGAAGAAAGTAATGGTAGCCAGAAAGAGGAGTTTGAACAACATGGCGGCTACTAGAGACAGAGATAGTGACGGGTTAGGTTGGTCCAAATAAGGAAAGTGAAAATTACTACCTTCAGGGCTGCCCTTTAAGAGCCAACACCAGTAGTCTCTCTTTTTTATTGTTGTTAATAAAACTTGCTGTCTCCCGTCCTTTCTCAGTCCAGGCTCCTTTTGCCTATTATTATGCAACAATAGTCACGTGGCTAGTAGCTTAGTACAGCTTACATAATGGCTACGGAAGTTATGGCTGATTGGAGGAGTTTTTTGTTATAACAATTATGGCACCATTTTACTATGTACAGGAGAGCCTACTGCTCCTCTACAGTGACTAACAAGACTCCATCACTGGTTTTGTATCAGTATCAGACCTGTCCTTTCTGTTGCAAAACAAGAGCATTCTTAAACTATTATGGACTCCAGTATCAGATTGTCGAAGTAAACCCTCTCTCCAGGAAAGAGATAAAGTTTTCAAAGTACAAGAAAGTGCCACTTCTAACAGCTGGGGACGTGCAAGTATTTTAAAGTACCGTATAGCTGGAAAATTTAATTTGGCGGATTGGCGGTTAAAATAAAACCGCCAATAATTTGCGCCTGATTATGCTCTTTTCTCCGGATGTGACGTTTTTCCTAGATACGCTTAGCAACCAAAATGGTGGCAAAATCAATTATTACAAAAAACTTCATAAAAATCTATATTTCTTCTGAAAAGAGTCCGTACAAGAAACAACAGACAATTTATCTTGATTGGTTTCATATTCATACCCTATTTGATGATTAAAAAAATAATATTATGATAATAGTTTTATCATTCTAATATGATATATCACAATGACATTAAGTAACTTTTTTTGAAGAAACATAGCTTTAAAATAATTATGAAAATATACAAACTGTACAAAAGGCATGTACGTAGACTCATACAAAATTATACCTCTTCATTAAAAATCCAATTTTAATCAGAAACAGCTAGCTCAAACTTTCTACGTAAGTGCATGCATGCATATTAGAAAAATATAAAAATGAAGAATTTTCTCCCAGCCATTTTTGACAAATTATCCTGTACTGTGGACGAGCAACTTTTAAAAAATTCTAAGAAATCCACAAAGCTAAGCACTATGCAGTCTCACCCCACCCCTTTCTCCATGGGGCTGGGGTGAGACTAAGCACTATGCCATAATCATGTAACTTCCTTATTTTCAGAAATGTCAAAGAAGAGTTCAGAGAAACTGCATCAACACTCATGACATTCTTTTTGAGTTTTGGTCTGCTATTAGGAGCAGCAATATCATTCTTTTACTCTTATCTCATAACAATATAAACAAGTAATGAGAGCAATAGTTGCTTTTATAATTTGTATGCTTTGTATTTAAATTTTGTATGGAAAATAAAATATACTTTTAAAAAAATTATATTTTTGTGTCTAGTAAAACATTTAAAGTCCATTTTCATTAAAAAATTATTTAAAGGTCTATAATGATTAATGAGTACTTTATAATTTTTGTATTAGCAGTAACAGGC